CGGGCTCGGGCCGCACCTCGGGCTCGGGCCGTACCTCGTTGTGTACCTCGGGCTTGGGCTGTACCTCGTCGGGCTCTAACTGTGCCTCGGGCTCGGGCGCTCCCTTGGGTGCTGCCTTCAGCTTGGGCGCTGCCTTGGGCTTGGGCGCTGCCTTGGGCACGGGTGCTGCCTTGGCATGGGCGGCCTTGGGCATGCGTGCTGCGTTGGGCTTAGGTGCTGCCTTGGCCATGGGTGCTGCCTTGGTCATGGGTGCTGCCGTGCGCTTGGGTGGGGGGCTTGCCTTGGGAAGGGTATTTCGTGCACTGGCTCTGTGGGCAGGGGCCCTCTCAGCCTCTTGGGTATGGGTGGGGAGCCGTAAAAGTATGCCAGTATCGTTTTTTTGCTCTTTGGCTGGGGCTGCTCGGGCGGCTTGGGCTTGTTCTTGCTGCCCGCAGGCCTTGGCCTTGGCGCCGGTTGCGCTTGCTTCATCGGGTTTTTAATAGGAAATATTTTTTAAATGACCTTTGAGGAATTAGACGTGATCCAAAAACAGCACGAACGACAAGGATGAGCCCCTCAGTCGGACGACTTGCCCTTCCAGGTCTGTCAATCGAAAGCGCAGGTGTCTCAGGGTGATGGGGCCCCTCACGGCCATGAAGTGCCCGTCGTCGGAGCCAGTCTCCACGATGGTGCCCACGCCGCTCTTCAGCCCGACCCTTCTAAGCCCTAAGCTTGCTTAGGCCTTCCGGACAGCCCTCCCCGCGGGGAGCCCTCCGGACATGAACTGGGAGCGCGCTCTCAGCTTCATACCAGGGCCCAGACCCGCGGTCTGGCCCTGTGGGCGTCTGTGGACCCGCAGGTCCGTTGATGCGGGCGTGGGCACGCTTGCCACGCCCCCCGTCTGGCATTTTTAATGCAAGGACACACTTGTCTTGCAACCTTGTTTTCCACAAGGGGGGGAACATCTCGCCCCTTGTCCTAGGTGCACCGCAGTGCCCTAGGAAAGTGCCACCTTCCAAAGCAACCCGGTAAAAAAGGTGTGCGCCTTGCCGTCGGCTTTTGGGTTCAGGGTTCTTTGTGGTTTGAGGCTAGGAGCAGTGCGCGGGACCTTTAACGCAAGGTTTTCATGTTTCCTTGTTAGCGGGTCCCAAAAAAAAATCCTGCACTGTATCCAACGGCCATAGACGTTGTAAACTGTATGCCTCAATGTCGCTGGCTCAAATTCTGCATCAGGGCTTCCCAAAAAGATCCTTTGTGACACATACCCAACATTTGAGGAGGATGTGGCGAGAATTGTGAGGCGACTCAGGCCACGCCAAAGATAAACATCTAAAGCAGTTGCATGGGATGTAGGCGGTGGTTCAACCTTAACAAATGCTTGATTTTACTGAGCTTCGGGCAAACTTGGTGCTTTCTGACTTGGGTTGACCGACTTGTCCAAAACCAAACGTTCATTTAAATGTTTTTTGTCGTTTTTGCTTAGTGGCAGCTGGATCCAAAGCCTATGCCCCAACCCTTAAATCCCTGGCATTGCAACAAAAAGAGTTCGCATGTGTTTCCTACACATTCTCAAGCTGGGAATGAAACCTGTTTTGTGAGAGTTGAGCCTGAGGGCTGAAATGCCACACCTTGCCGCATTTATGCCCCAGTCATTCTGTTCTTTTGGTAGTTCCTTCCGGTTTGACAAACCTTGGCCCTGTTTTGTTGGTTCACTCAACAAGCAAAATGATCAGTGTCCTGTGACCCAAGGGCCCAAGAAGCCCGACTTGCGTCTCCCATGAGATGCAAGACTTTGCTGCTGGTCGCCTTGGCAGTCTTGGCGCTGCTGCCTTTGCTGCTTCTGGAACTGCCTCCGGCGAGCGCGCCGCCCGTGCCACCCCAAAGCCCGCCGGCCGTACCCGGCACACCCGCGCCCAGCGCGCCCAGCGCGCCAAGTGCGCCCAGCGCGCCCAGCGCGCCCAGCGCGCCCAGCGTGCCCGTGCACGCACCGGCGCCCGCGCCCACGCGGAAGCCTGTTGCGACTGCGTCGCCTTCACCCGGGTTGCCGCAAGGACTGGCGCAAGAAGGCAAGGGCCGGACGGATATGGGACGAGAGGAAAGCATGGAGCTGGGCGTAGGCAGATAGTCTTGGCTCGTTGAACCGCCTCTCTTGGATACCTTCAAATTCTAGGCAAATCATGCATCTGGCAAAAGGACTTGGTTTGCAATCTCACCCACGATGCAGGTCCCTCAGAGAAGGTGCGAGTTGCAGTAGTTCGCCCAAGTCTTGGTTGCGAATGGGGATCGTTCAAATGCAGGAGTCTTGCTGGATTCCATGATATTCAAAGGGAGCAATGGTAACAAGGAGGAAACCCTCTTCTAGGGCTCCCCTCTTTTCGCTGCGAGCGGCATTGGATTCTCCCGTGTTCGCCAGGCCAAACCTGGGTGGTGCTGTTGTCGATGCAGCGCTCCGGCACCCACTGGCACCTAGTCCGCATGAGCCGCCCAGGACTCCCGGCGTTTCAAAGCCACTTGGGATACCGAAGGTTTCCTCACCTGTGGTAGGGGTCGTGTCGGAGTTTGGGCTGGTTGCTGGACAGGGGCTGCTGGACATGTTGACGATTTGGGCTGTTCAAGAGAGATGTTCACCAATCTTAATCCATCACGCCTTTTAGGATCCACTGCAAAGTGGACCAGCAGTGTGTGAAACGCACCCAGAAATATTCGTTGGCTATCTCAGTTGGGGCGTTTTCTCGCCCCTTTGGAACCACCCATGAATGGCTTTTGGGTGCTGAATTCCGTTTGTTGCATTGACAGCTGCAACCGTTCCTTTTGCTTCAAAAGGCAGGGGGCTGGCCTCAAAGGCTCCACAACGGCTGGCCCCAAAGCTTGGAAGCTGAGCCCGTGGCCCTGGCAACATGGGCGCCCCAAGATGATTAGTTGGCTGTGGGTGAAAATTAAACCACCAGGGGACCACAGGTTTTAGTCTTTGGTTCCATTTACCAGGGTTCCATTTTGGGGTCACCCTATTTTTGACCCACAGCCAGTTGGTATGCATCCATATCCGGACTCTTGTGCCTTTCATGTTGGTCTTGCTTGGTGGAAGTCTCGGCGTCCAAGTCCGTCAAGAGGAAGCCACGCAAAGTTGTGTACTCGTTCCATGCTATGAAAGACCTTGGGACCCCTCACCAAAACGGATTTCAGAGCCTTCTAAGACAACAAGATTGTCAGAACTGGCGGGAAGGGGCCTTTCGTTTCCTTTCAGACCTATCCAATTCCCAAAGGAGGCCACAGAAAGCAAAACAGCAGTTTCAGCAAACTGCCGAGCAATGCGGCTTGGCAGACTGACATGGTGAACATGTTGAAACGTGGTTGTGGACAAATCGTAGTCTTAGGACCACTTTCTGTGATACCAAGGATGTCCCTTCAAAATAAGCAAGAAGTAATGCTGGAACATGAGCACGGGCCTGGCCTTTGCCCTACCAGTTCCTAATTTTTGGGCACTTCAAACATGTCCGAAGGCGAAGTACCAAAGGAGTTGAGCAACGGCAACTAGTTTCAATCGCAGCTGTCAAGTGGGGACCTGGGCCACGCTTGCCAATTGCCGTTAGAACGTGGAGATCACTCACCATTTCATTGAAGGACCCAAGGAAGTTTGACCGTAGCTCACAGAGAGGTGTTCCCTTGAATCAAAGCGGTTGGGATTCGGGGATTCATGTTGATGATCTGATATTTTGGAGGGCATCCTTGACTTCGGGGTGAACACATGCCTATCAATCCACGTCTAATTTTTGCGTCAACGCTGTTCTGAAAGTAATCCTGACTCACTGCCGAAGGCTGCCTCACTTTGGGTTTCAAGGTTCAAAGGTTCTGACTTCTTCGGGCCCTCAAGTGAGCAGACAGGCGCCGTGTTGAAGTCGATTGCGAACATGATGTGTTTCCTATTACTCCGATCGAAAGATATTGACGTCGTACTTGAGTCTTGCGAGAATCAGATATCTAGAATCCAGCCTCTGTATTCAGCATGTCCACTGGATCCATGACGGGCTGGGAGTATTTGCTCGTCGATTTTCCTTCATTGGCTACAATCCGCATCCGGCCTGGGAAAGCAATGAGAATCCCTTTGTTTGTATGGGGTATGAAACACCTTCTATGCTGGAGGTTTTTGGGGATAGCTTGTTCAGGATAGGGCCCGAAGATCAGGTCATGCGAAGATTTTGATGAGGGTGGCGACCGAATTGAGGGTTTGGTTTGTTCAAGGCTCACCTACGAGCTGAACCGCCACCCCTGCGTGTCAATGATGCCGGAGTCACTCCGCTGAAGGGATCCAGGGTGTGAGTTAAGCTGGCCAAAAAAATGACTTGCACAACTATTGGCTGCTCTTCGGTTGGATCTTCAGCATCTCACAAAGTGCGTTGTTTCCTACTAAATAGCGGAATGATGTTTATTGTTTGGTGATGGGATCAAATAGCAGGACAGCATAGCGGCCTGCGTAGTGGTGCTGGAAACGAACTAATGTGTTAGTAAGCCAGGCTGACGTTTGCGCCGGGGCGTTCTCAACCATAAAAGGGGAGTACGGGCCGTCCCGAATATGACTCCTTTAATATCTGTGTATTCCTCTGCTTTTTGTTTTTCTAACGGTACCCCCCGGGAGATTTTTCGGTCAAAATGCAGATGGCCACCATATGACCACGGGCTTTTTTGCCATGAGAAGTTCCACGCTTTTGAGACATTTGCAAAGCTTCGGGCATTTCTTTTGGAGGGCTTGGTGAAGTTGGCGAGGACAGGTGAGGCTCATGAATAAACGGCCAAGTATACCAGCTGACCGAACACCATGGACAAGAAACCAGTTTGGACACGGACATGCTGCCTGTCTGTGCTTGCAAGTGGCAGGGCTTGGGTCGAGTTTCATTCTTCTCAGGCTCCTGCTTCAGGGAAATCAGTTTCCAAAGGGGCTGTGGGTCCCACGGAGGCCCTAGACTGGGCGCCGCGAGTCGCGAGTCGCGAGTCGCGCGTGGCACGTCGCGCGTCGCGCCACTCAGGCTCCTCTACCACGACACGGCGCCGGCGCCCTGGTGGACGACGCTGCTGCGGCGTACCGCCATCGAAAGCTTCTTCAACACAACACTGCCGCCCACAGGGCCCGTGGACACTCGGAAACACCTATGTCTCGCATGGGCTAGCGCCCAATGTGATCCCCTTTTGTGCGCAGTGGAGACGGTGATGCGGTGGATTCTCTAAATTTGCAGGTGAACCAGCCACATGCAGCCACAAAGCCCTGATCAACTTGAAGGGTTTACGTATCAAGGGCACCACCGGTGTGATGGGGTGTCTATTTCGCATTGGCTACCCAAGACCAACAACGCTTTTGTTGACTGAGTGGGGGGCGGGCTGCGCAACCCCTTTTGGAGGAGGTCCGCCACTGTTGGAAGAACGGCTTTTATTCAGGGTTATCGATGCAGCCTACAAAAGCAAGCACTTGCTTCCCCAATCACGAGCTGGAAGGGAACCAATCACGAGCTGTTGCAAATGGGGTGTGAACCTCTTGAACACTTGCTTTGTCTTTGAAGCGGTTGCAACCCTTTGGGTGATATCACTTGTTGCCTCTCGCCGTTTCACCGCGTCTTAGTGGAACAACGTTTAAAGGAAGCCCTCATGAGGATACTTAGTGGGGGGTCACGAGTTTTGACACGCAATGAAACGGAAACGATGGGACATGGGTGTTGGCGGGGGGGTGTCATTTCTATCCGGAGAATCATGCTGTCTGAATCGAGCAAATTGCTTTTTGGGAGGTTCCCAAAAACCTGTTGGAACCTTTCCAGAGCCCTTAAACTTGTCTTGGCATTCTTGTGTTGGTGGGTCAGTCATTCAATATGAGCAGCACTAGAGAGGGCCGTTTTCCACACCTGCCGGGCCATCAACACATGCATTGCGGGCAAGTAGTCCTTTCAAGAACAAGAGCCAAATATGCATTCTTGAGAGCTCTGGCTGATTCCAAGTCTTGCAAGTAAGCTTGCAACAAACAACTACTCATTGCCTATTTGCAACATGCGAATATGTCCAACCTAGTACCCAAGCCTGCCCAAGCAAATCTGGGCCAGCTAGCCCCAGCGTGTCATAGAAGTCATCCGCCTTGTGCTCCAAGTGGGTTCTTGTTTTGATCTTTTCAGGGACCAAATGGGCAAATCCTCAAACGCCTAACCTTGCGGACCCCTCTACACACACAACCCTTGGGTCTGCGGTGTCCAAAGCTGAAGCTCCCCAGCGGTTTCAGTTTGAACCACATTGGAAAGTGTTTGACCTCCCACATTTGAGCTCGAGGGTTTGTTGGTCAGCTCCCAAAGTCAATTCACTTTAAGGCTGATGCCCTACTTGGAAAACTGAGGAGAGTTTCAATACCCGTGTCCTTTTGAATAGGTGTCCTTGGAGATGAGTTGCAAGATCCACACGGGTTTGAGTTTGGTTCTAATATACCGCTATCCATTTTTCAAGGACATCTCATTTTTCCTGAATGGGCGCTTGGGCTCTCAGGATGGCAAGGTGTATCCATGGTCGGTGGCGCATTACGTGAACATGACCAGCAAGGACCATTCGGAGTTCTGGGCCCATGCGCATTTAAGAGGGCTGCCACTTTCTGAACCCCGGTTTGCAGTGAACGCGTGTTGGGGAAGGATTCCCATGGCTCACAGAAAAGCGGTATTTGCCATAGCCATGTTCGATCCCTTTTTGGTAAAGAGAAGGGACACCAAAAATAGTGGCGGTTCACATATCTGCCTTCAAAAAGACAAAAGCCCACCTTTGTCGGAGTTCTGCATGCTTCGGAAGTCTGCGCCGTGCCAAGTCGGAGTTCTACTGGTTCTGCCTTTCAGAGAGCACATCGGAGGAAGCAGGTGAATGTGTTGCACGCTGCCGTGTTGTTTAATAGTGGCTGTCATCTCGTAGTTATTTCGGCTTGGACTTGATCCATCTCCCCAAGCTGTCTATTGTATTGGGGAAAGATGCAGCGAACAAAGAACAACGATCCCAAACCTGTTATATCTTTGGGTTCTTTGGAAAGGTGAAGGCCTCTTTGGGTCGGGGAGGGTTGGGGTTGGGATGCAATGATCAATGCCGAGATCTGCAAAAGCAGCACCAATTTCCTGTTAGCTTCAAATTACACATCTGAAAGGATGTTTTGTTTGCGAGAGGATATCGGAGGGGGGAGATCCGTTCGTGCTCTTTTGTTGCTAGGGCCATCAACTGTGAAGAAGCAGTTGTGCAAGCAAATTTGTGAACAAGCAGGCGTATTTCTTGCGAGCAATCCGACAACTGGATCTTTCCATACGACGCACCCAATATAGAGCTTATATAAGACTCAAACACTTCACAGGGTCCAGTATATCTTCGCCCCAAAATGGCCAACAACCAGGAGTTCCCAACATATTTTCAACCACAAACAAAACTCGGGCAAGACCAGGCTAGTAAAGGTTAGGTGTGCCAGGTCCTTGGGATTTTGTACCATGTTTTTTCGGCAGGCCAGGTTTTCATAGAGACTCACTTGCAAGCGGGTCAATCTTCCCTTGTGCACACCATTTTCAGGAGTTCAAGTTCTGTTGCCAGCCAAAAGGGTTCACAGTTTCAAGCTCCTTTGTGAGATTGTTGGCCACATTTTGATCTCAAAGGCCTTTGGAAAGGCCACCGATGTTTATAGGAGCTCCGGGAAGGGCGGATCGTGCGTGGCTTCAACTGGCCGGGCAGTCCAGGAGGGTACCCGGGACGGGCTTTGGCATTGACCGACATTTGGGACCACAGGAACGTATCTCCAAGTGAATCACCTTTTTGAAGGGGCCCCAAGTCCAATCCAGCTGCAACTCGTGCATTACATGTGCCCCTCATTTCATTTGTTTCTTGCATGTGGACAAAACCAACAAAGGGCCAAATCCTTTCGCTTTGGAATCCGGGCAAGTGAGAAGCATTGCTCCTTCGAAGCCATGCATCTCACTACGTTCCCCTCCAAATGGGAGAGCCTGAGCCTCTGAGCAGGGCATGCCTGTTTTCCAAGCCAAGCTGCTCAGGCTTCAAGCGTTTGCTTGTCTATACTTGGTGCGGCTGGAACTAGACAAAAGAGTTCATGAACTTTGAACGCCTGGGGTTTGAACCTGCAGAAGGAAGAGAGAGAGAGAGAGAGAGAGCGAGAGAGAGAGAGAGAGAGAGAGAGGGAGAGAGAGAGAGAGAGAGAGAGAGCGAGGGAGAGAGAAAAAGGCAGCCGTCTATGGATCTCCGGTACACAGAGAGCGCAGCGTGACAAACCTGCGCTCCGACCGAGGAAGGTGAACCAAGGCTTTTTCGAGGATTGGCCTGACTGGTTCTCAGACTATGCGGTGAAGCACAAGATCCGCCACTCGGACCCGAGAAGGAATCGCCAAACACAGGCAGGGGCAAAACTGCTAGGCGGCTAAAGGTTTAGCCAAGGCACCCTCTTCAGTTGCACCAGTTGGTCCACCCCCCGAGCAACATTCGCAACTTGTTGAGCAACCCTTCCGAAAGAGGTATCTTTCTACGAAAACAACAGCTCCTCCCAGCCTCTACCAAACTGACTCCAGGCCAGAACGCTGCAAGGGATTTGTGGGGCAAGTACTGCCGACGCAGTGACACGCGTTTATGCATCCGTGCAGTGGTTTCCGCCTTTGTGCAAAGTAGGCTCTTCTGTTGAACAAATGGCATTTTCTTCCCGGCTGGGTCCAGCAACAGCGTCTCCCCAGTTTTCACCTGAGGCCTCATCTACGTCCAGCGCCGCAACGACCTGCGGCGCCTGCTCTCGGCGGCGGCGAACCGCCAGACCGCGGTCTTCGCGACCAAAAACGCCTCGGAGGCCTCCAGAGCGCCTCACTCGGAGATGGCCAGCAGAAATCCACGTGGCTGTGGTGGTCAAAACCGTGAAACGGGATCCCATTTTGGGATCCCATTTTGGGATCCCATTTTGGGTGGTAGGTGAATTCACCACCCATTTTAGAGCCTATTTTAGTGGGGATTGGGATGTTGACGGGGGGTAGGGGATTTTGACCCATGGCCATGTGAGACCGACAGGAAATCCGAAGGGAACCCGTCTGACATTTTGTAGACTCAGGGACATATTTCTGGCGGTTCGTTCAGAGGGTTGCTTCCCGTGGCAACCTTGCGACGTACTCGAGCCCACTTTGGGGTCAAAGTCAAGGGTAGTTGGAGCATTTTGAACCCTCAGGAAACATAAGGCAATACTGCCAGCAAAGCGGGGGCAATCAAAGGAGACCAGACGGTTTGTGGGACCTTGGGAAATTGCGGATGCGGGGTGACTAGCCACGTCGCAAAGTATGTTTTGTCTTTTACACCCGCGCACGAACCCGTGGTTCCAACTTGTTTTTGGGACGATGCGCTGTTCTCGTAACATGTACATACGCCTTCACCCAACGCGGTGTTTGGCTCAAGCTTTTCACTCCGGCAACTCAACGGTTCGCATTGCTTCGTGTGCTTTGGGCTTGTTCTTCTTTTTGTCAACTGGCAACCATTGTTCGTGCCAGCCCGAAAACCTTGTTTCAAGCCCTTTCGCAGGAAATTCAGCCGTAGGATTCGTCCCTGGTGGGCACCGCGAACCCCAGCAACTAGGCACTTTGCGGGGCAAGATGGCTTTGGAAGATTTGGGTTTGTCAAGGGCCCATGTTGCTTTGCCTGTCTCAGAGATGAGACAAGGAGGAAGAGATGGCGGTATTGATGCACGACGACGGCCGTTCTCTCCTTCTCCTGCAAAAGGCTGCATCGCCTACCAATCAGACCACGCAGGGACCCTATCCTGATCCTTCCGTGCGGGGAAGCAGATTGTGCAGGAACAACTGCGCCGTGTCGCGTGCCAGGTGCGTAAGCCTGCCGCGTACACAATGGTCAGGAGCGGCCAACGCGGTGTTAATGCGCCTCCTTCGGCAGAGCGAAGATGGTCAGAGGTGGCGAGAGGCGGGGGCCGCACCGACAATGCACAGGATAAACCCGACGACTCTGGGCAGCCACCGAGGTTAATTTGTGGCATGTTGGCCGAAGCTTCCGACATGGCAAGTGTGACTGGGATTCTAATTCTGCTGATGTACTGTCGGAGCCAATGAGCAGCGACGGTAATCATCATTCTGGAGGTGCAAAGTTCGGCGCATTGGCAACCGAAAATCTCGACCCGCCAGCAATTTCACACAACAACGCAGCAAACATCTAAGCGAGCGATGTTGCCAAATGCAGCTGGAACGGCTGCGTGCCGACTGTGAGTCGTAGGTGGGTTCGGGCGTGGGCTCCGACTTCGGAACTAATGGCAAGCGCCGACGCGTGGACCTGAACACATCTTCCACCTTGCAAGCAAGTAGCTCTCGCCAGCTGTGCCACTCAGGTAGAATGGTTTTACCCATTAGGTCAGGAAAGCTGAAGAAGCCGCAACCGGTGTAACGCAGAATCGCTCCACTTTTTGGTGGTGGCGATTGGCGCGCCCATCTGCAGGGGCGTCTGGAGCTTGGCTGCCACGAGGCCCAAGTCGCGTCCTCGGCCGGCGTCGTCGCCGATCCCGGAATCACAAGCCCAAGCACGAAAGCCATCGGCCAAGACTTGGTTCGTGTTAGGCGTGTCCGCTTGGGCCCAGGTTGAATGTCAGTAGGCAGGCTGGGGCAATGCTCCCAGGCTGCTCAATGTGGCAAGGATGCAATGCCATCCTCAACTACCAACGCGTCCCAGAAAGTGTAATTGTTTGCCCAACGCAGCAACTAGGAGACCGTCATCGATGAGCTCAATACCAGTTTGCCCAAATGGGGCAACGCAATATTTTGCCGGGAGCCGCCATATTACGAGCGAGGGAAGGAGGGGACCCTACGCGGTCATACGACACACTCGTAACTCCGAACATTGCAATTGCGGGCGGTGAGGCAACCGTGCTTCCTAAAGCGGGCAGACAAGAAAAGGTCTGAGGTGTGCCGCAGTGAACCTGCATGGCACAGTCCTGTGCAACTCCGGCAAGCGGGCAGATCAAAACGATCCGGCGCACATTGTGGAGCTCCGGCGAGTCGCTCTTGGAGCTCTCCGTGAACCCCACTGGAGATGTGATTCACTGCTTTCTTTCGGGGCTTCGGTGCGGGGCGATCAAAACCCTAAGGCAAAGTGATGAGACACTTGAGGTATGGGTGGCAAAGCGCATCACCACACACAATGTGAGCAAACCGGGGTACCGATGCGTACTGTCCCCACCCGCAGCGGGGCAGGCGTCTTGCGGGTAAGGGAAGCCAGGGATTGACTTTTAAACATTTCTTGTTGGTTTACGCCCTAGATGCACACCACATTGCTGTTGATACAGCTTGTGTGCCACCAGGTGCGTCCTGATCAAGGGCTCCTGATGTCGGGCTTGCTCTGCGTGTTCACATTCGTTTGGGGAAAATTTGGGTCCAGGGGGATTGCGTTCCTCAATGTTCAGATTTTGAAGGCGGCCCCCCCAAAACGGAATCTGCTGTTGCTTGTGATAAGCTTCATCTTTGCCAGCGACCGGCGTGTTGTTTAAAGTGTTTGTGTGAACTCTGTCAAATTTTGGGGTTTCAAATCAAAATTCCTTGGGGGTTCAAACGTCTTGCGTTCTTTCATGGGTCGACTTCTACGCCGCCCGTCCTGCAGCTTCGGGGAAACAGGGGCAGCGGTTGCTAGAGGGCCATCGTCTCCTCCCGCTGCACTGGAGATTGACACGACGCATTCTTACTCCAGCCCATCATTGGCCACACACACAAGGCCAGGCGACGGCGCTGAACTTCGGCCCTCTAGTCTTCATGAATCGCATGAAAACCATGAGATCGTAGGATCTCCCCTGAAACCAAGAGAAGTTTCAACAAGTGTCTTGGGTTGGTGGCGCGGATCTGTATGACTTTGGTCGGAAGAAAAGTGCGTGGGCCGTGCAAGGAACGCGTGGCCAAGCGTGCGGCCCTCTGCTTGGCGGAAGGGCTCAGAAGCTCCTGCAGAAGTGCTTGCATCTCCCCCTCTACTTGTTCAAGATCGCAGAGGAGCGGTTGAAGATGCTGTGGCGCCACCCAAGCGCAAGCATCCTGGGCGACCTCAGCTCGAGAACTCTGAAAAGAGGCAGGACGAGAGGACCAAGTAGGTGGAGAAGGCCGCGGCCAAGGAACGACTTCCAGTGGTTTCAATTGCCTGCTTGGGGCTTGGGGCACACATGCGTTTTAGCCAACGTGCATCGATTGTGTGATCTACCCCGTCAGAACGTGTGATTGCTAGTCGTGTTTTTCTTGACACGCTGTGCGTGGGCCGAGTGAGAGCTGCAGAGACGCAGCGGTACTCTGTCGGCAAGGGGCTGAGGGCTCGCTTCAGGGCAGCTGGACATGGGTTGTGGGGATTGGGGATGGGGTTTGGGAAGATCCCCATGCTGCAAAGGGATATGACCGCTTCTTCGCTGGTTACTATTGCTCGATAAAGTAGCAAAGGTTCGCGCGTGGGCATGGAACTCACTTGGGGGCCATTTGTGACAATTTATACCCGCCGTGTTCGCCATATAATAGGTTTATGCATTCAGCCTTTGAACAATGTGCTGGAGCCGAGGTAAAGCAGGACAAGCCGACTCTGCCGGTAGAAGACCTGATCAAGAAGCTCACGCGCTCGGCCCTCGAGTCGAGATCGCTCTCACGACTTGCGTTTGGTGAGACTTGAAGGCAACTTGAGCAAGTTGTGCCCAGACTAAAGCTCCAGTTTTGTTTGGTGTGGTTATTTCAAGCTCTGTCCGCTGTAAGCAAATAGCAAGCTCAGGTTGCGTGAAAGTATGACTTTAGACAATCCGGTCCTCCCACCGCGATCGAGATAAGCCGGTGAAGTGCAGTGTCCCATTTGGCTTTAGCCGAACTCCTGAGGAACAACCAGGGGTGAAGAAAACAACGGTGTTTTTGATTCATTGATTCTCAAGTATTCTCAACAACAAACGCCCACGCAGAATCTGAACAGATGGTCTGGAAGACATTTTTGCGAAATTATTCCAATACAGGCAAGAACACGGGTCTTTCAGTGGCTGCAGAGAGTGACTGGGTTGAGCCATGATTGTTGGACATCTTGCAGAGGGTCTCAATGCCCATTTATCTTAACAGCAACACGGGAGGATATTCTCCGAGTGGCTGCGTGGAAACGATATGTCCAGTTGACCAGGTTTACCTTGGTGTGATGAAAGGTGGGTGTGCCCCGAAAATCACAAGTTGCCTTTTGACCCCCCTTCAACACTAACGTACGGAGTCTCCCAATGTTTGGATACACCCACGCGCCTTGATTTGTTAAGTCGCTGTTGGCAAACAAAATCGGAGTGCCGAAGTGCGCCTTTCACCTCGGACATCATACTGTCCACTAGGATTGACGAATCCTTTCAGATAGAAAAGGTTCCCGCAAGAGAAACGCAATCCGCATTCCAGTGTTTGGCTTGTTAGCTGATAGCAGGAAGGAATTTGGGCAGCCTTTGCCACCTTGCAAGGCGAGGGGGTGCCGTTGAGACTCATCTTGATGACAGGAAACATTTGGGAGTCCTTTTTGGGGCTAGTGGATTATCTCAGATGACCCAGATAGCCTCCGGCCAAGGTGACAAGCAGTGGCTGCAACAGATGAAGAAGATCCTCCAACGCGCGAGGGCCGCTTGGTAGAATGGTTCGTTGGTCAAGATGTCCGGGGCTTGCTGCTTGACCTGGACACTTGTGCGGAGCTCCGGTTTCTTTGCAAATTGCGTGTCTGTTTGTGTGCGTGTGTGTGTTTTGGCCCCAAAATTGTTTCTTGGTGCAGTGAGCAGAGGGTCTTCAAAAGGCAGTCGGACAGGACCCATGGCATGTGCATGCTTGGAAGCTCTGCACAGATAAACTTACCCTCGAAAGCGATTCATCGCCCATTTTAGATGGGAGCCCTACCAATCAACCAGAAGTCAGCAAACAAATCCGGAGTGCCAGGCATGACCGAACGACACTTTTCTTGCTCGTTTGTTGGACGCTTTGACTTCATTAACCTTTTTGCCAACACAGGGGCATTTGGGTGTCACTACTGCCCAGTCGAAGGTACCTTTTGGTGTTGAAAGGGGAAACTGAAGGACCACCGCAGCCTTGGGTTCGATTCCAAGGACCTGAAGCTGCCGGTGCTCCACGCCATCTACGAGGAGCTCACGGACAAAGATCGCCTGCAGGCGGTTAGCAAACGCCGAATTGGGGTCCAAAGGCAAGCCCCAAGAAAGGGGGCCAGGGCGCCTCCTCTGTGCAGCCAATTGGCATTCAGCTGTTGCGACCACTGAATCTAGAGAACAGATTCTTCAAGGAGTCCGCGCACCATTGTCCAGACTCGAGAGCTGGTGAGCCCGCAGATGGTGACCAATCTGGCTGTGTTTCTTCTGGTCCTCCAAGGAAAATGCTGCGTGCTATGGCTGCTTGTTGAAAGAGGTGCTACCTGATGACGGCCATTCATCTTTTCTCTCGGCTGTGTGGATGAAGAGTTTCCAAGCGCACAGATCAACTCCTTGAACGTTTTGCGACCAACGTAGACTTGCCAAGTGTGGGAGAAGAATGTGGCTCTCTACTTCAAGCGTTCTGCTAAACGCTTCCTGCAGTCCTGCTTGAGGAGGGGCAGCAATTTGGTTTCTCAGAGCCACCATGCAATGCAAGTGATCGTGAACAGACTGATGCCCGGAGAATAGTCGCCAAGCAGGCGATCCATTTCATCTTAAAGTCTCATGCTTGACCTGCTTTAGCCCCCAAGACTGTGGAAGAACGTGGCCTCATGCTCATGCGTGTCTTTTCGCAGATTCCCTTCATTGAAAGGAGGAACTTACAAAGCCAATACGATGATCCGATTGCTCAAATGAGTCTCAATCGAAGGGTGATTGGAGGCGGCCCCCTTTCAATCCTGGTTCCGGGTGGACCAGTTGAATGCCGGGTTTTGAATGTGAAGGGGACACTTCTGCAAGAGCCACAGGGTCCGTGCGAGCCAGGCCCTGCGGAAGTTCGCCTTCCAGGGGGCCTCGGCCCGCTGCGAGGCCGCAGCCATCTCAGAGGACGGGTCGACTGAAATTTCGGGACAGCGTCTCAAATTCCCCTTAGTTGGTGGTGGTTTGGGTGGAGGGTACATGGGAAGCCGCTGCTTCATTATCAAACCACCAATCCAAACCACCAATTGGAGGGAAGCTGAGCTTGGTATTTTGATTTCCTTGTAAGTACCAAGCATCACCAAGCAATGAAAAGAGGGGTTGATGTTGAGACGCATTCTATTTGCCCAAGCAGTTTACTGTTTGGGTTCTTACTCCACAAGAACGGGCCGCATGCTGCCAGATCGCCGGGCCGCATGCTCGCCAGTGTGCGCATTGATTTGTCTCCCATGTTTCTTGTTGGCGCATAAGCGCGCTCACCGTCGGCGCACAAGAGTGTTCCTTGTCGGCGCAGAAGCGTGTTCACCGTCGGCGCAAATAAGTGTCCGTTGTCGGCGCACAAGTGTGTTGACTGTGGGCACACGCAAGTGTTCCTTGCTGGCGCGCAAGTGTTCACTGTCGGCACACACGAGTGTTCCGACGTGCGTAGTGCATCATTTTTGCTCTTACGCTCTGTTTGGGGTCTACGCTGGAATAATTTGCGAATCAATTCGGTGTCCCCAAAATGGGCGCATCCAAAATGGTGTCGCAGGTTTAAAGAACCCTGCAGCAGTCTATCGATGCAAGGAAAATCTGCAAGGGATATTTCCTTGGTTCAAGAACCATGAATACAACGTGACTAGAGGTGGAAGGAAGGGATTTGTCAACTTCAGAGCTCATTTTGTTTGTCCCCTCCATGGAATGTGAAACAAAAACGTGATGCTCTTCAAATATGGGTTCAAACATGAGTACCGACCATGTTTGAAGGATATTGGAGACCCCAAGATCAGGAGAGAAGGACATGTTTGAGGGAGAAACCTCGTTTTTGTCATTCAAGTTCCTCTTGAGCAGCTGTGGCCAAAAATGCCTTTGTGGAACCGTAACAACACAACGGAATTTCAACTGAGGCGCAAAGTGTGTGGTTTCAGCTCCCTTCACACACACATTTGGGCAAGGAATACGCGATTTCAGATGGGCAGGACTTATGAACTCTCCAATATCCTGAGCAAATGGAGTCGTGCACACGCATAATGCTAGGGGTCATGAGCCCATCTTCAAAGGCCAGTGAAAACCCACATTTCATCAGTGCCTTTGGGTAAACCTTGGGTTTGGTTTTGCGGCCACATTTGAGGTATCCAATCGTATGGGGAAATTGCAAAAAGACCTCATATGTTGGGTACATGGCACCTAGTCACAAGGGATGGTTCCCTAGGGCTTCCAAAGTGACTGCCTCCCAGATGGGGGGCGCATATGACCAAAGGACCCATGTCAGAACCCTTGTCTCTGTGACTGATGGACATTGCCACGAACCCCTACAATGTTGAGTATGGCGAGCAAGAGTTGAAGCTTCTGGCACTGAGGGATGAGTGCGCAAGGAGCCTGGATGGGTGAAGCTGCACAACGGCAGCCTGTCGCTTGGCAAGACACGTTTTTGTAATAGCCAAATCAGAGGTTCCACTTCAGATCACTAGATCACAAAGGTTGCCATTTGCATGGAAAGGGCGATAGCTTCTCTGAGTCTCTTGCAGAGCGCCCGCTTTCCGGAGAATGGACAATGGAAAGTGGAAAGCTACTTTACAGAGTGCAAATTCGATGATTGAGCAACGGCCAAACCTCTACGCCCAGAAAACCCGGGTCTTGAGTCGCTGTCCGGATCAAACAGGTTTTTCAATCGGAGGTGAAAGAAGTCGCTTTGGGGAATATACACAAGGCAGGCGGCACTTTGGCACTTTTGTATGTTTTTGCGAAGGTTTTCGCTTTGAATCGGTTTATGGCCGGAGCTGGGGGCTGGTTGAACCGTTTGCGTCTTGTACCCGATCTCGTGGGCCGCCAGAAACCGCAGAGCTCGGAGGGCGACTTTGGCCGTCCCTTTCCGCGAAAAGTATTTGAGCGACCAAGCGACCTGAGGCAGGAGCTGGTGGGGAACTTCAAAGAGGTTCAGAGGACCCTGAAGGGGACGGAGTTCGAATGGATGTTGCGCGACTGAGCCGACGAAAAGGTGCGAAACCGAGGTCGTCGCAATCGAATGGGGGCCCCTTTTGCCTAGCCAAGGCCGCCAATTCAGAATCCAGCAGGGAGTGCTCAAGCTTGGATGCCCAAAGCAAGTCAGCGAACTGGAACGGTTCAGGTTGAAACATGGATGATCCAGAAGCCTTTTAAGTAATTTCGGCTTCCTCATTCTTTCATGAATCTGGAAGTTGAGAGCTGAACAACTTCTGCTCTTGGCAAGAATTCCTGAAGTCCAGGTAGCTTCTGAGGATTTGCTTAAGTGGCCAAGAAGGGTCAAAGTGCATCCCTTGGTACCAAAGATCCCTTGAATGGGTGGCCATCTTTCGGCTCAAGCAGCTGTCCATGAATGTGGAGGTGCGGAGGTTGAACCACTTGAAAGTTGGGATTTGAGCTGATGGTTAACAGCAAGACGGAGCTACTCTGTTTCCATTTGCCCAAGATGATGTGAGATTTGCCAGATTGGTTGTATGTTTTAACTGACTGGTGCGTCCTGCAGTGGTTTTGGGATGCATCATTGCCCACAGTGCCACCCAGTGGGCATTTTTACAATCTGGGCTTCTGCCTGTTGTTGCTTTCAGGATGGATTCTAGTGCCTGTACAAATCTTTAAACTTTACACAGGTGTATCTTTAGAAGGGCAGCACTTCCCATTGCATTTCCGACACAAACCTTCACAGTTGCGTCTAGAGCCTGCAGACATCTCTATGAACCGTCTTTTCGTTTCAAAGGTAACATGACCATTTTCAGTTTCCCTTTCGTTCCTTTCCGCCGTTCTTCCGATTTTCCGTTATGGCACGTCCCTTGCCCCCCGCCCAAGCGCTCGCTTCTCGCCGCGCTCCGGGAAAAAAACCCGCCCATGGCGCTGCGGCGCCGCGCCCTGGCGGAGCTGCAGCGGCTCAAAGCCAGCGGGGAGGCCGGGAGTTGGATCCGAAGGGAATGGCCGTGGTCAAAAATAGAAATGGCAACCCCAAAATGGAACCCTAGTAAACGGAGACATGGACTACCTGCGGTTGCTGGACTAAACCCTGCGGTCCCCCAGTTTTGACCCACACCCAAATGAATCTTCTGGTTTGACGTCTGCCATGGATACATGAACATAGTGGAGAGAGAGAGGGATAGATACATCTACATGTACATTGATGCAGAATTCTTGCATGCTCCAGATATACTGAGAGAGAGATTTCTCCCGTGACCCCGCCGCCCCCGAGCCTCCCCCGCCCCCATCCCTTCGTCCACTGCTTGACCTCTTGTCGAAGCACTAAAAAGTCAATTCAATCACTCAAGATGCCCACAGGAGCGGTGGCCGAGCAAAAAAGGAGCCCCCAAAACGGCAAACAAGGACCCCAAAAGAAGAAGAAGCCCCACCACCAAAAGAAAAGGCAACGTCAACCCCTCAGGGGAATTTGGCAACCCATCAAAAGGGTGACGCACAGCCACGCACGCCGAGCTGAATCAACTTGTAGGCTGTAGTCAGGCCTCCAGAAGCCTGAGATGAGATTGGTCGAATGGGCAGAAGTTATAGGTTAATGCTCCTTGGAGTTTGCAGATGTGTGTGTGTGGGTGGGTGGGTGGGTGGGTGGGTGGGTGGGTTGGTGGCAAGGCTGCCTGCAAAATCAGGCATGAATTTGCACCAATCATGGCGAGCTCACTAGCACACATGACGCAGGTTTTTCTCTGGGGGTGCGGTGGAACTGCAAAAAATTGCCCAGATCAATCCAGAAGTGGTGGTAATTACATGCCTTTGCCTCATACCCCTTCGGTTCTCGGCGCCCAGTTATGAGCATATACTTTGCTGGGGAAGTGAGTGTGAGCAATAGCAAGCCTTTTGGGGTCGTCTTCATCTACCCAAGGGATATGTAAACGTGCGCGTACAAACGCAACAACCACAAACATGTATCCAAATTATGATCATTACAATCACACTACAGTTCCATGACATGACGTCGGGCTCTCAACGGTCCATGCGCTTGGAGCCGACCCCCCTGAACGTGGCAACGGTTTTCTTTTGCTCTTCTTGTCGATTGATCTCAAACTGTTGCCCTCAGCCCACTCAAACAAATGCACATCTGGCATGAACTTCCAGCTTACGGGAAGGTAAGCCCAACTGGTTTGTATCAGGAGACACTAGTCACGAGGCCCAACACGGCCGTGGTCAGTCTTTGACACGGGATGCCGAAAGGCGGTCGCCGGGACGATGTTTGCTCGAACATCTAAGTCAACACCAGTTGCCCTGTTGAGTTTCTTGAATACCAGACGGAGGTTGTCGAAACGCACTCTCAGGAGCCTTCTGGGCAATACAACTTCCCTGAAGGGGTGGGCATTTCCACGGGCGATACTCACAGCTCCATTTTTTCCGATGATTTGAACGTCACCTTCCGGGACTCTTTGAGTTTCTTGTCCGAGGGCTTGACCACCAGACCCCTAGACCACAGGCAAACCCAGCAGCAAAGACTTGGGTTTCAGCGGGCTCACCGAGTCTCCGGACCTCCCGCGCACGGATCCACCCCGGCCCCACGGATTCACGCCGGCCCCACGGCGGTCGGTCGGTCGGTCGGTCGGTGGGCGAGTCGGAGCTGGCCATCGAGACCTTGGTCTTCGCCCTGCGGGCGCCCACGTGGCACACCTTCGCCGCCTTCGCCCAGCGCGCGGCGGAGGAGGCTTTGGGGCGGATGGGCGGTCGCCCAAATCGGCGCGATGTTTTTGGGGCGGCTTTGGGGTCGACTCTTGTCAGATTTCGGAAGTGGGCTGATTTGGGGTCGACTCTTGTCTTATTGTCTCTTTTTGGCGGTGGGAGTTTGGCTTGCTGTTGCCTAATAGCCCATCGAAGAAGTTAGAGGAAGGATGCCGGGTCAATGAAGCCCCAGGCAAACGAAAGCTACAGATAGCGAGCATGGTTTGTCCGATGCTGTGGTTAGGCGAGCACTCCCCCATTTTTTGTGGTTTTTTGGTGGGTGCATGTTCGTTGGTTCAGTGAATGCTCGGCATTGCTCAAGTGTGGGAACGCTCTTTTCAGCTTAGAGTGTGCCTTTTGCTTGGACCTTTGACAAGTAGTGAGCAGCCAAAAGGAAAACTGGAGGGCGCCAGGGTATTTTTCTTTTGTCAAGTAGTCGAGGGGAGGGAGCAATACAATGCCCACCCTCAAAGTGACTAGACATTTGGAGGGCTTATGTTTGTCCGCAAGAGCGGAATGCAGTAAGGAAACCCAGGATGTCACCTTGGCAGGCGCTAAGAAACTTCTCTGAATGGTGGGGAAGCGTTTGGCTTCTTCCCCTCCTCATGTTCAGTTACCAGCTGTATCCCCGTCTTGATCCTTCAACATGACACCAGTAAAAGCAAGTTGGACCATATTTTTCAATTCAGTAGGAAGTTTCATGCGTCCGCCCTCACCTAAATTAAGACACATTCTCAGAGAGATTGCACAAAAGCTCCAAGCACCGTTTGCAAGACTTGTTTTTAAAGCTGGGGTAGTTCCTCAAATACAGGGCGAGCTGATTTGAGGTCACGGTGGGTTCATCAAACCACCAAGAGATCAGCCGATGGAGTTCCGAGAGATGGTTTGTTTGCGCCTTGGGTTTGATTTGGTTAAAGGTTTCTTGGGTGTTGTAAGTGTTTTGTTTTGGGTTTTTCTTAGCTCCTCTTGGAGCTCCCACAACACATGGACAATAGCTTGAATGGGAAATGCAACCACGCGATTCACTCCCAGTTTCCATGGGAGTTCGTGCTGACAAGCTCACCTTCATTTCAGAGAAGAACCGGCGATTCCACCCTTTCTTTTTAAATGGGGGCTCATTTCGGGTTAGTGAGCCAATGCAGTTCCTGCATCTTGCATTGGTTTGTGGGTGGTTGATCCACACTTGGATACATGCGTTTGATTCTGGTCGACACATGATTTTGCAAGCCTGGTTGTAAATGGACACCGATCAAAATAGTTGGCCAAGTTGTGAGCGAAAGCAGACAAGTCTTTGTTGATGCGCGACAGGGGATCCGAGTGTTTAGCTGTCAAGGGGAAAAAACACCATCCACCAGTATCATTGGTATGTGACATCCCTGAAAACATCCAACAAAGGCAATCATTTCAGGCTTGCATTTTTGACAACCGGCAGATTTAAGCCCAGCTTCCTTGGGTTTAAGGTTTAGTCGGGGTAATCTAGAAAATATCCCCAGGCCCTTTGCCAGGAAAAACCCTTACTACTCCAATGGGTGAGTCGATTCCAAGTGAGGACAGCGTGGAGCAACTTCCCCATTCTTGCCAACCTTCTTCCAGAAAGCCGCAATTGCTGGGGAAGGGCGGCTTCTCGAAAAACAAAGAAAATGGTTGGACAGAGCCGGCATGTTAGGAGCTGCAAGAGCTTTGTGCCAACGCAGGCGCGGGTGCCTTGGGTGTTTTGGGTCTTTGGGGATCTACGAGCCTTACTTGTGCCTGCTGCAAGGGTGGGGTAGTAGGAAACCCGATTCCCTCATGCTCATGGGGCAATTGTGTGTTTTTGCCCTTGTATTGCCTATGTGACTCTCTGGGAAGTGGGCGATTTCTGGGGGAACCCAGGGAAGGGTCTGGGATGCATCGATTGACGGGTAATTGTTGGCGAGGGCCTTTGCAGTTTCAGCGCCCAAATTGAGGAACCAAAGAGTGGCAAGCCCCTTCAAGGAAATCCACAGGGCAACAAGGACTTGGCAAATGGGGTCTCTCTTTTTTGACAAAATTTTCTATGATGTTTATGCTGCTCCGGCAACTATCTACCCGTGTCTGCAAAAGCGACATGCATTGGTTTAGCTACTTGCAAGCTGATCCAAGATCCGAGTTCGCCCGACTGTGATCGGTACAGGTGCCGAGTTGAGGAAGAAACTCTTCAGTTCAGAGAATCGAACTCCTCAAAACAGTTGAGCCGTTCATTCCCTGACCCGTGCCTTGGCTCGGTATTCCCAGCACTTGACTTGTTGCTACCTAGCACTAGAGTGGCTTCCTGGTGTCTACTTCCTTGTCTATTCTTAAAGTTGGGCCTTTCTGAGCTGATGTACTCCTTTTGTTTTTCTTTTCAACTGATTTCATGATGTACTGGAAGACTCTCCAGCGCGCGGGCAGGCGAGGCGGAGCATGATCGGCTCGAGGCGCCGGGAATTCAAGAGGATGGCTTTGGGGTTTCCGAGCTATCCCTTGTTTCAGAGTCGTGAATTATCGAAGCTCCAGAAGGGGGACGCACAAACCAAAAGCAAACCCAAACCACAAGACATGGGGGACACGCGGCGGCAATATATTTGACGGGGGCTCCTGTGACACAGATGACTTGAGCTTTGCGCCTTGTTAACTTCCAGGCTTTACGTGACCATGGTTATGTGAAATGGGTTTTAACGGCCACTTTTCGTGATGCCACTTTTAAGGGCAAAGCACTCTTTGCTTGAAGGGCGCGGTGCAGAAAACGGATCTGCACTTGTTTTGCTCAAAAACTGATAGAGCATATTCCCCTTAAAGGGTATTGGTACGCTCATGATAATCCAAGGAGGGTGCTTTTTGAGAATTCGTGCAGCCGGATCAACACCTGGCTTACCTGTTGACTGGTGTTCAACGAAGTGGAAGAGGGTCTCCGCGATTTCAGGAGGATGCCTTGTGTCTCCAAAGGAGATGCATAAAGACATGGCTGTGCGAAATATCCCTTCTGTGACGCCCAAAAGGGATTCTCATCTTACTTGTTTGTCACTTCCAAGGGATTCCCTGGCCTCTCACAGAAAGCGCACTGTAACCACAACCTCTTCCCGCAACCCTGATGTACTTGTTACTTGGTTTTCTCCACGTCCGCCTTTGTCCATCTTCTTGGCCATTGAGTTGCGAAAGCAGGATCACTTCTGCCTCATGCCTCATGCCCTCATTGATTGATGAGGCAAGCAGTGGGCATCCACATCTTCACTATCGCTTCATCATTAGTTGCGGTTGTGGAGTTCCCTTCAGCTTTACCAGATGCAAAAACAAACTGCCAACTGTTTGCCAGCATAGTTTCCTGCAACAGGCAGGCGCCAACACCGCACGGAAATCCCCCCAACTTAAAAACAAGACCCGCCAAGTTCCTTCTGCCATCTTGGGCCCCTTTTTCTCTCCCTCCCCTCCCTCTCCTCCCTCCCTTCCCTCCCTCGCTCCCTCCTGTTTTGGGAGCATACCGTGATTTGTCGACGGGCAGGAACAAGTCCGCACAATGCCAGTGCAAGTCCCCAGTATCGTGATTGCAGTGATTGCCCTAGATGAAACAAGATTTCCATCGCCCTCCCCTTCTTGCAGTCTTCAATCGACTATCACAAAGCTGCCCTTGTGATTTGGTACTCCCATTGATTTCGCACGGGCAAGTGAGTTCGGGCATCCGTAGAGAGCATCGCGCAGTCCGACGCTGTGCCGGCCGCTGATCGAGATGGGCCAGACATTGCGGCGGACAGTGGCACGCTTCACCGTTCTTGGACGATACTTGTGTACGTTTTATGCTTGTATTTACTTGTGCTAAAGGGCCGAAAGACAGGGACATCGAGCCTCGATCCTGGTATGCGTTTTTGTTCTGCAGGTCTGTTTATTCCCACCAGCTTAAGGCTAGGGGGTCTTTGCCCATCTAGGCTCCGAAGGTTTCGCAGTGGCCCCCGTCTAGAGGGTTCCGAAAGGTTGCCGTTGGGGTTGCCACCTCGGCTTGTTTTGCTCGACGTTCTGCTGCCATACCGAGGCTTAGGAGGTGCAGACTTCGCCGAACCAAACTTAGTCGCGTCGCACTTCGACGCGCCAGATGTGACTGCGCCAGCCTTGGCCGCGCCAGAAGACATGATGGCGCCTGACTTTGCTGCGCCAAACTCGGGCGAGCCAGACTCTGCAACGCCAGACCTGGATGACTTCGTCACGTCTGACCTTGCTGCACCAAACATGGCTGCGCCAGACATGGACGACTTGGTCACGCCTGATCTTGCTGCACCAAGCCTAGCTGCGCAAGACCTGGATGACTTTGTTACTTCTGACCTTGCTGCACCAAAGTTGGCTGCGCCAGACCCGGACGACTTGGTCACGCCTGAGCTTGCTGCACCAAGCCTAGCTGCGCCAGACCTGGATGACTTCGTCACGCCTGACCTTGCTCCACCAAACTTGGCTGCGTCAGACGCGGACAACTTAGTCATGCCTGATCTTGCTGCACCAAGCTTAGCTGCGCCAGACCTGGATGACTTTGTCACGTCTGACCTTGCTGCACCAAACTTGGCTGCGCCAGACCCGGACGACTTGGTCACGCCTGACTTTGCTGCGCCCAACTCAGGCCAGCCAGACTCTGCAACGCTGGACCTGGACGACTTGGTCACGCCTGATCTAGCTGCGCCAAACCTGCCTGTGCCAGACTTGGCCGCGCCAGACCTGGATGACTTGATCACGCCTGACCTGGCTGCGCCAAACTTGGCCGCGCCAGACCTGAACGTGTCCGACATGACCATGCCTGACTTTGCCTCGCCAAACTTGGCCGAGACAGACTGTACCACTCCAGATGTGATCACATCAAACTCGGTGCCGCCCAACTTTGAAGAGCTAGATGCAACAAAGGATATTTGCACTGGCTCCAGCGCGGCGAAGGAGACAACTTCGAAAATGCATCTTGCCTGATTAACATGTGGAACAGCATGGGTTGTCAAGTTCTGCCGTTTGCTAAACATGATCGTGACTTTTGCTTTTTCTTGGCTCCCAAAGAATCCCCTTGTTTTTCCGCTTGAGCCGGCGGTAAAAAAGGGCAAACCGCTGTTCAGTAGTCTCAACTGAGCCAGTTTTACCCGCAACAAATGCCCATTTGATGTCCGAGGGCTTCGACCCATCCGTCTCTCAGACCGCGGCTCTGAGGCCGAAGCAAGGATCGCTCTACTCGCAGTTCGCAGCTCCGAAGTGGCTTGACATCCAACTACTGACTTACTAACCAACAAATAGAATGCACATGATGTACAAGGCACTCAAGATAGGAGTTGAGAAGCTATGGCAACGATACAGAAATACAAGCCCGAGAGCACAGACTGAGGTTCAGTTTTGAGTGGGTTTTAGCTCAGAGGGGCCGCAACCACATATACGGCCTACAAGTCGGCTGGCGACCCGGGTGCCTATCACTTCCCTTTTCTCAGAAATTGCCATCGCCATTGAAACATTTGTTGGCCACTACACGCAGTATTGTATCTCTAAGAGACCACTGAATGCATAAGGGAAAGCTACCCAACCTAAAGGGTGACCTGGTACCTGTGAGGATGTGCTACAGGGGCCGAAAGGTGTCCAATTGCATCCTCATGTCAGCGGGTCCTGAAGCAAGGTGACCCAAAGATCAATTGATACCCTGTCAACCATGATCGTGTAAATATGGGAAAGGCAATCCACCCTGTGCGCAGAACCCCTTTTGAATTTGATGGGGCGGGGGGTGAACACGTTGCAAACGCAAGCTCGGATCCCTTTCTGGGAACACTCCCGACTCAATTCCGCCAAGTTCAACCCAAATCACACCAAGGAGGAAATCCATTTTTCTTGGGCCCCCTTTTTTTGAGGCACCTCCAAAGTGATGACGCCCCACTAAAGCCAGAAACACCCCCTATATTATCAAGCTGGGGTTGATTCATATGGCGGTGGGTAACCAATGGGATCCCATTTTGGGGTAGGTGAATTCACCACCCGTGGGGATCGGGATGTTCACTTTTTGGAGTTCGGCCCGTGGCCATCTGGGGGTCCTTCGCAAGACGAGCGCCGCGTCTTTCGGCAGGCCCGACGCGGCGGCCGCGGAGGCCGAGGCCGAGCTGCGCAGGGAGCGGCTGGAGATGGCGCGGCAGCGCCGCGGCGCGATGGAAGCGCGAGGGGAAGGTGTCCCTTTTGGGTTGTTTAGGTAGGAAATGGATGGCGATTCCTGGTTTACCTGGTATTTTAAAATCAACCAGGGCCATGTATTTCCCCTAAAAGGACACCCTATGGCTGGGAGGGTCTGAGGGTGCTTCTGTTTTGCTTAGTCCCTGAGCTCATGGACCTTAACGTTAACCCCGGATTAATCAACCCCTGGTTGATGAATAGGGGTGTGTCCCCTTTTAGTGGGGAGTCATCACTTTTGGAGGGAACACCCTCCTATCCTCCCAGTGATGGGACGGGTTTATTAATCCTGGGTCAGCGTTAAGCTGTTTGGGTTGGCAAGCTGATCCTGGCCCCACTCAGTGTTTTACCCCAATACCCCCTTGTTTGTGCGCCAAAGGCAGAACAAGCAAAGGATCGACTGGGGGTCCAGCATGATTGCCTCGTCCAAGGAGGTGGGCGAGCATCCCTGCCTGTGCCCCCAGTGCTCGAAGCGTTGTGCTTGTGCGAGAGGGAAGGTGCCACGTTTGCAATTGTCCGCAGGTTTGCAAATGTCCGCAACCTTTCTGGTTTCCCAGAAAAATGGGCCTCAAGACCGTCAAGAGATCCCTCCCAGACATTTGTCGGGCTTGCTTTGCCTTTGTCAAACATCGGCTGATGTTGCCCAGCCTTCTTGGGCTTGGGATTTTGCAAACGAGGCGGGAGAGATGGTTTGTGCGGCTTCCATTTGGTGGGGGAGAGGGGCTCGATGTGATTGCAGGGGTTCTGCGCAGTGGATTCCTTTCGAGTCATTCCAACATGGCATATACAGACTGCATATTATATATATATATATATATGTATCTTTTGGGCCTGCGGCCTCTAGCCGGCTACGCCTCCTTGAAGTTATACTATGTCATGTCATTTTTGTTTTTCCCCCAACAGCTGAAAGCTTTGGGGTCTCAGCCCAGATAGGCTCCGGGGTGGTCCGGGGCGGCCCTGAGGTAAGGTTCCACGAGAGTTCCACCAGGGTTCCAACAGGGTTCCACCAGGGTTCCACAAGGGTTCCACGAGATTCTGCGAGGGCTGCAGGGTGGTGCGAGCACTATATAAAAAGAGCACCGCATGCTGTTGGGGATATCACCTGAGCTTTTTCTTTACATGAGAAACGCCAGCCCCAGATGATGCAGGTTCACATGGGGTCGCGCGCACGCCAGAGGCCCCACAACGAGCAGCCCAAAAAGAACAGCCCGCAAGCCAGCCCGGAAGCGCAAACGCAACAAAACACGAACGACAGCCCAACGCTCAGCAGAGCAGTTTTTGACAGTCTTTGCGGCGTTGTGTAGAGCAAGGACCCAGCATCGCCGGCGTTCCCGGCAGTGCTTGGCACCAAAATGCGCGAAAACTCAGTGCTTTATGGGTTGAAAGGCTTGGAAGACCGCTCATAGTGGGGAGCAGTCCCGGGATTGTTTTGGACATTTTTGTGAGACCGGACCCGACTCGTCCCAGGTCGACAACACAAACTTTTCCAGCTGAAGCATTATCGGGTGGAAACCGTATCTTCTTCTTCCACGTGTCAAGAGCCCCGTGTGACCGAAGCAGCAAGACATCTGTTTCCCTGCGCCAGCCACGCGGGCTTTCAGCTGCAGCATTGACTTCGCTTGGAGCAGTGCGCTGCAGACTGACTGCTTAGGGTTGTTCATATCCGGCTACGTCTCCTGGGGTAGCATGTCGCTGCTAGGCAATTTGCCTGCTAGCTTTAGCTATGGGGCTGCACCCTGTGCGACCGACCCTCATCACTTGGTCGAGATGCGTTGCCTACATCCGGCGCAAAACATCGCGTATATGCAGGGTTTAGGCTGCGTGGCTGACGGCTTGGGCGATGCGTCAGCGGGGCTTGGTCTGCATCATCGAGGACCGGTCCCAGGACCGGTCCCAAGGACCGGTCCTGGGAACTACCTTTTTGTGCGTCCGGCTGTGTCCAAGAAGAAAACATCATCAGGATTCCAATGACTTCTTTCCAGTTGCATCCCACGCCTGTCTCCTCTGCAAGAGGCTAGGGCGGGAGGCAGAGGGTTGGCGGATATATATATATATATATATATATATGTATATATATATATGCACATGTACATGTGTTCCCGTCACGTTTCGCACTCTGAGGAGCACCGGCACGGCAACAACAAGATCTCCGGTGAACCGGGTGCCAGTTCCGGCGCCATGGCGTTGAGAGTTGCACCTCCCCGAATCGCAGCTTACCCGTAAGCGGCGCCAGTGTCAACTTCTCGTCCAGTTTTTTGTTTTTGTTTTTGGTTCCTTTTTTGGAGGGAGGGTGTCACCAAGTGGACCTGCAAAGGGCATCTGGAGTTTCGAAACGGGCTGGGTGTCGTACAGAAATGTTTGTGGTAGCAACTTTGTTGAGGGAGGGCTTCCCTTTCCCATGAAAACTTGCCAGGCTCTGTTGGGTCCCTTTGTTCCCTCGCCGCTTTTGCCCAACCCAGGCTCGGTGCCTGAGGATCCGGAGGAAGTGCGGCAGGATCAAGCTGCAGGCCGCCCATTCTGGTTTTTGAAGCCCGGAAGCTGCGAGCCGATTCAGTGCCATAGCCCCAAAGTTTATGCTGGAGAAGCTGAAGGCCCGACCCTTCTCTCTAAGCGAGTACTCCTCTGGCACTGCCTTTGTTTTTCCCAAACGAGCCGCCCCACAGGGGTTGCCCGTTTGTCGACCTGACCGAGTTAAAGCCTCCCAACCTTTACGGTCCCCACTATGTGTTTAGTTTGTGGCTTCTTTGGTTTCATTCAGGGGAGCTGCACCAAAAGCAGTTTCTTGCTGACACACCAGGGCTTGGGAAGGACAAACGCATTTGAAGTCACGTGTGAGCCAGAACGTGGTTGGCATAGCAGCGAAGGGCCGTTTCTTGATGCAGCTTGTCGCCTTCTTGTAAATTTGTTTGACTCGGGATCCACATTGGAAGGGGACCAGTGTGAAAAGGCGATGCTTGGCATCAGCTAACCTTCCAGAGGCCTGTTGGTGGGTTCGCTTCCAGGTTTCACGAGGGGCATGCCTGGAGTCTCCAATATTCAAACATCGGGTGATATATCCATCGTGTCATGAACACATAAGGGCGTTTGAGATTAGCGGCTCCGCATACTAAACGGCTTAGGGCGTTGTTGGCAAGGCCCTTGTTCAAACAGGGGATCCCCCCTGCTTCCCCCCCCCCCCCCGACCTGAGCAGGTCAACGACCAGACCCTTTGGAGCCCATGGGCGAACCTGGTGCGCCTAGGACAGTGCCGAACGCCGAATCTGGCTTGGTCTGGTTTGTATTGTCGATTGTCTGAATGCTGGGAGAGCGGGAGTCCTGCAGATTGACGCCTCAAACCGCCTCCCGGCAAAATCACATCGTGCAAGTGAGCCAGTGCACGATCCATGCCAAAAACGCTCCAGACTTCACAGGTGCCTCTGCGGCTCCATTTGTTTATCCCCTTTTCAGAAGCCTTGCCAATTCAAAGTCTCTGTCCCACGCGCTGTCAGATAGAGTCAGTGTTGGTGTTGACTGTGCGGAAGCCACGACAGAGCTTTGCACATGTTTTGCATTCACCACCTGTTTGAGATTCAAGCCAATAGCCCAAAGCAGAGCAGCAGGAAGATACCAGTTCATATGCACCACATCCTAGTGTTTTGCAAAGCATTTTACTCTCTGGGGATTGGTGCTGCAGGGGCCTTGTTCTCAAACCAAGAAGGGGTGGCAATGGAGGGGTCTCCCTCAGAAAGTTAGTCAGACTCTCATTCGAGTCCTCTTCTTGCCGAGTCAACAGGGAGCCCGCAGTTCGGGGTGTGGCCCGGCCAGCTCTGCAGGACGTTGGAGGTGCCCGAGCGTGACTCCATGCCCTTGCCCAGCTTCTACGGAGGCAACGGGGCGACGGCACGACGGGGCGATGGCGGCGATGGGCGGGATTTTGGCGAACATCTGATTAAAACTGGTGGGGGCCTAAGAAGGTCGCCAAAGTGGAGGACGTGGGCCCTTCGGGGCGGTGCTAAAAAGGAAATCAGCCATGTTTGGGGTCGCCTAGGTTTGGACATGCCAAGTCTTAGGTCACGCAAGGGACAGGCAAGATTTCACCTGCATCACTAGAGAGGGGACGGGCCTGTGTCGAGGCATGCCGCGCGTGGAAGAGACGGAGCCAAAGCCGGACCAGGACAAACGGAGTGTAGGAAATCGGTCCTGGAGGTTTCCACCACTTGGGTTTGGCTTTTGTTTAGCAAAGCTATGCAACCGAAGTCAGCCTGAAATGTTCGCTCTGGGCTGAGCGGCCATTTTCCAGAAGGGTGGCTCAAGTTCGTTCATTTTTGCAGGGTTTTATTGAGGGTACCTTCCCTCAAGCCGCATGCCCACAAAACAGCCCCTCTTCCAAGGGTCTGAAGCTAGTTGATACAACAAGCTGCCAAGGTCCGAGCTCCCCCTTTCCATACCTTTAGGGAATGCCAACCCACAAAATCCTTTTGGATGCCATCGCACAGGAAGCCGTGGAGTTGGTGCCACCCATTGAAGCCGAAGGCGGGAGCTTTCCGCTTTCGCCCCCTGGGGGCCGGGTTTCCCTACATCGACCGACAAAAAGTGCGCCTGGAACCTGACAGGTCCTGGACCACAAAGTAGTTGACGGACTTCCAATTGTTGGCCTTCCATCAACGTGGTGGGGAATACCCGAATACCCTCAGAAGGAAAGCAGCAAGTGTGCAAAAGAAAAGGGCGGGTTTTTCTCCTCAGCGGCTGGCACCTGAGGGTCAAAACCCAAGCCAACCCTCCGCCCCTCGACAGTTGCCACCTTCCAAACCCAAATTGTCATCCCGTGACGAAACTGATGTTTATCCCCCCGCTCAAGGAATCCCCCAGTTTTGGACACACTGTGTCAGGCGTCGAGAGTCTTGAGCCTGAACTCCCGGCCGAGTGCGGCCAGGCTGAGGCAAGCCGTTGGAGACATGTGATTTGTGCACGTTATGCGACTTCGCACAACTCTTTTCGACGTTGGGCCCTAGGAAGATTCAATTTTGGTGTTGGTGCATTTTGTCAGTACAACCAAGAAATGATCATCTGGTATGAACCCCGTATTTTGAATGTTTCAATCAAGCACACAGAATTCACATAGATGATCGGGTTTTGGAGCCAGCTTAGGGCACCTCAACCCAGCTTGTGTGCAAAAAAAGCAGAGCGTGGGGCAAACCGATTGAAGGCATGACTCGAGCGTTGACAAAGAGACATGCGCACGGCCTTTCCAAGCCTGGAGGTAGAGAAGGCATCGCCGGCCAATGCGGCATCGGCAGGCGTGCCGGGGGAGGGGGTGGGGGATGTTGAGGAGCAACCAGCGGAACTTTGTTCAGTGGCTCATGCCGAAATGCGTCTTCCTTCCTAAGCAGGGGAGCCTCAACTGACACCCAAATCAACCAATCGCTTCATTCTGATCCTCCAAAGGCAAACGAGCCTGGATGAGATCCGCAGGCCCGGCAAGCTCTCAAACGAACATATCCCACTGCACCTTGCAGGTCCCACAAGCCACCTTTCAAAAAACGCCTCCGAACTGAGGCCAACTTTGCTCTTACTTGGCTTTCAGACACCCAGCATCAGAAGCCGTGTAGAGTTTCAACCATACGGTGCGGCTTTAGGTAGGCGGCCAGACTCTGGTCAAACTTGGTTTTGACTGTGCAGTTTGCTTTGTGGCTAAACAAAGCCTCACCATTTGTGGCCTTGGGCAGGAGTGATAAATCAGTCGTGGGCATTGGAGTATCACTTCTCGAAAGGGGCCTCAATTGTCCACCCTGGTTGCAGGCTGAAACTTTGGGATGTCTTTTGCGGCATGTTCAGCAGGTATGCAAAGAATGGGAGCCGATTTAAATAGCTTCCGGTTGATTTGAAGGGGGTGGGGGGGGTGGGGGGGGGGGGTGGGGTTGGGGGGTCAATGTACCGAGATGTTTCCGCCTTCAAATCCAAGCGTGCGGACTTTTTGTGGAACCTTGGGGGATTCCTATTTTGAACGCGGTTCACAACTGTTTAGCTTAAATTTCCCAGAGGTTTCCTGCACTGGCCGAAGCAGTCGAGTACGAGCTTCGGTTTACGCGCCCAGGCGGCAACGATGCGGCGGACTGGACGCCATCTCTTTGGCGCGCCAAGTCAGGCACGGAGATGCGGGTCGCTGAGTCGCTCGAACTCGAACGCAGCGTTTGTTTGGATCAAACATTGCACTTTCGTCGTCAAGAAGGGGTTGGCTTCTATGGTCCAACAGCTGCAGTGCCCATACCGCTTTGCGGCCAGTCAGGGTTCCTTATGTTTCGCTTGGGTGGTTTCGACGTCAGCTTTTGGCCATTTGCTTGCAAGTCCTAAGCGCATTTTTGGTTTGGGGTGGGGGTATGGGGACATGAAACTGTCAGTCACCCCTTACCGAACGGCGGGCCCACCAGCTCCACAACATTTGCAGGATGTCCAGCAGCCCCCTGTGCTCGACTGTCCACCAGCCCCAAACCACCGAAATCGCAGGATGGCTGCCAAGCTATGTCCCACTGTTCTTTGGGTCCTAGTAGGGTACGGCACTGTTGATACATATATATATATATGCACATGTAATACTATATGATGTTATCTCATGTTATCTTATGTTATATGATATCATGTCCTTTCATGCCATGCCATGTAGTATCACATCATATGTTATTCTATTGTGTTGTTTCCTCTTTTTCTTCTTCCTTTTTGAATGTATGTTGTTATCCTTTATATTATTATATCATATCATCGCGGCACACACACACACACATTAATTTGCAGACCTGCTTGCACGCAGGTTTCATATTTGCACAGATGCATATACATACATATGTATGCACCTGTTATATTATATCATGGACTCATACACATTCCTAGAACCTTTGCAGTCTTTGTATAGTGGCTGCCAAAACGGGATTCTTCGCACTATATTAAGAGGCAACGCCACTTCTCATCATGTCTTCATGATGTCCTCCTTTGGGACCCCTTGTTTGAGGAGCACTGCTAGTGTTTGTTTGAGATTTAATGTGTATACTACACAGTGGCATGCCTTTTCTCGACGGTGCCCTCATTTGGGATCATGTCGCAAGAACGTCAAAGGGATTGCCAGCCACCACCCACCCACCCACCCACCCACCCACCCGCCCATGCACCCATCCATCCACCCATCCAACCCTGCCACCCAGCCACCCGGGACCCATCCACCCATCTCCCCATCCACTCATCCACCCATCCACCCATCCACCATCCACCCATCCACACAGACCCAGCCACCCAGCCACCCAGCCGCCCATCCGCCGATCCACACATCCACCCATCTCCCATCCACCCATCCACCCATCCACCGATGCACCCCAGCCACCCCAGCCACCCCAGCCACCCAGCCACCCAGCCACCCAGCCACCCAGCCACCCAGCCACCCAGCCACCCAGCCACCCAGCCACCCAGCCACCCAGCCACCCAGCCACCCAGCCACCCAGCCACCCAGCCACCCAGCCACCCAGCCACCCAGCCACCCATCCCTCCACGCACGCACGCACGCACACCCACGCACCCATCGCACGCATACCCACGCACCCACCCACCCACCCACCCACCCACCCACCCACCCCACCCCACCCCACCCACCCACCCCACCCACCCCACCCACCCCACACCCAACCCACCCACGCACCCACGCACGCACCCCCACGCACCACGCACCGCACACGCACCCACGCACCCACGCACCACACACCCCACACGCACCCGCACACCCACGCCACCCACGACCACACGCACCCCACACACACGCACCCACGCACCCACGCACCCACCACGCACCCACGCACCCACACGCACCCACGCACCCCACCCACGCACACCACCCACCCACCCACCACCCACCCACGCACCCGCAGCACCCACGCCCACGCACCCACGCACCCACGCACCCACACCCACGCACCCACCCACGCACCCACCCACGCACGCACCCACGCACCCACGCACCCACGCACACCCACGCACCCACGCACCCACGCACCCACGCAACCACGCAACCACGCACCCACGCACCCACGCACCCACGCACCCACGCACCCACGCACCCACGCACCCACGCACCCACGCAGCCACGCAGCCACGCACCCACGCACCCATTGCACTCAGGCACCCACGACACCCACGGCACCCACGGCACCCACGGCACCCACGGCACCCACCGCACCCACCTCACCCACCGCACCCACCGCACCCACCGCACCCACCGCACCCAACGCACCCAACGCACCCAACGCACCCAACGCACCTAACGCACCCAACGCACCCCACGCACCCCACGCACCCCACGCACCCCACGCGCTCCACGCGCCCCACGCACCCCACGCACCCCACGCACCCCACGCACCCCACGCACCCAACGCACCCCACGCACCCAAGGCACCCAACCCACCCAACCCACCCAACGCACCCAACGCACCCAACGCACCCAACGCACCCAACGCACCCAACGCACCCAACGCACCCACCGCACCCACCGCACCCACCGCACCCATGCACCCACGCACCCACGCACCCACGCACCCACGCACCCACGCACCCACGCACCCACGCACCCACGCACCCACGCATTTACGCATTTACGCATTTACGCATTTACACACCCACGCACCCACGCACCCACCGCACCCACCGCACCCACCGGACCCACCACACCCACCGCGCCCGCCGCACCCACCGCACCCATCCATTCATGCACCCATGCACCATTCCACCCATCCACCCATCCACCCATTCCACCCATCCACCCATCCACCCATCCACCCATCCAACGGCATTGTCCCATCTTGCCGTGCTTTACCTTCAATCAATGTGTATGCTATTTCCATTGCGCCTCAAGGAGAAGATCGAATCAACGAGTATGGGAACCGCAACCTACCAAGAACGGCGCTCAGACAATTTGCATTTGGCTTGCTACGCTCGCAGCCGCTTGTTTGCTCTGCTGTGGACTTATTTGCTTCTGACGCAGCGCCCCCAGGAAGAGATTGACGGGAGACAATTAAAATTGCCTGCGCTCCAAGACACTGGACGAGTCTCCAATGTTCGGGCCTTGGTTCTTGAGGCTTGCGCGGCGGCCCGAGGCGCTACAGGGCCAGCGCGTGGAGCCGCTGCCCTCGGCGGTGCGGCTCCGGACAGAGGCCAGGACTGGCCGCGTGTTCTGCGAGCTCAAGCTAAATGCTAGGCTGCAGCCGAGCATCCCTCAACGCCCAGCGTTTCACATGTGGAGAAGCTCGTGACGATGTGCTGGAGGCCGGGGAGCGGAGGTCAAACTTTGGCACTTGCGCACCCTTGGCGTCAACTTTGTGTTGCAGACACAGGCGCCATGGCAGCCGCTGCGCCCTGCGTTTGCGCACGCAGCGGGCGTTTTGGCGGAGGGGCGCCTCGATTGATCGCGTCAAACAGCGGGCGGCGGCGGCGGCGCACAGGCGGTGGAGTACATCTTAGACTCCCCAGAAGGGGGGATGGGCGGCTGCTACGACAGCGTCCGCCAACCACATGTTGCCGGCGCCCCAGCTCATGTCGCGACTGTTAAGCAAGAAGCCTAGCCAAACCAACGTGGTCCCCACATCTGGCGAGTGAATGAGACAGCAGCGGCGTGGAAAAAACAGTGCCAGGGAAGGAGCGAACAAATTCAGAGTAGCAACTTGACAGACTTGCCCTGAGTCCGATAACAACCCACTTTCCTTCAAGCAAGAGCCACAATTGAAGCGCACGGAGGCGCCAATCTTTTTCTTGGCGCTTTGAAGTCTTCGTCCTGCCGGGGTCCCCGGGCAGAGCGGCTGAAACCCAATTAATTGACGGCTTCAACGCTGGGACGATCCAATGATCCGATGCGACTGATCCAATGGGTCTTTGTTCCGATGGTTTGCTGATCCAAGGAGCTTCTGATTTCGCTGATCCGATGATCCGCTGATCCAATGACCCACTGATCCAACGATCAGCTGGTCCGGTGATCCGCTGATCCGATAATCCGCTGATCCACTGATCCGCTGCTCCGATGAGCAGTTGATCCGCTGATCCGATGATCCGCTGATCGTTGCTCCGATGATCCGTTGATTCGATCATCCGCTGATCCAACGATCCGCTGGTCCGATGATCCGCTGATCCGATGATCCGCTGATCCAACGATCCGCTGGTCCGATGATCCGCTGATGCGATATTCCGCTGATCCAACGATCCGCTGGTCCGATGATCCGTTGATGCGATAATCCGGATCTGCTGATCCGGTGATGGCTGGGCAGGCGGGTGATCATGAGTGCCTCCGACCGTCTGGCCCCCAAGAGAAGAGACACAGAAGTGATTAAGGTCCAGTAGCCCATGTAATGTTTCTTTGACTGGTGCGGCGCTTGAGTGTGGCAGAGATCACCCATATTAGACTTTTCCCCATGGGCTCCATTCATCTCAGGATTATGATTGAACAAGGGGGAGTCATAGTTGCCAATTGCGGGCTTGAACCTTCCTGTTTTGGGTGAGTTTGCTCCTGAAATGAAGTAACAAGACAAGGGCAAGTGAGTATTTCAATTTTTTGGTATTGCAGGCCCGACACCCCCGGAGGCCGAGTTCCGGAAGGCATGTGCTTGCCGTGCCCCACAATTCCAGGCCCCACGCTTCCGGAGGCCACGCCATGGCACGGTTGCTAAAAGGTCACAGGGCGTTTTAACTACCTGGAGGCGAAAGCTGTGTCACACGCGCTTTCCCCTGACTTTTCTACAGTTTGTCATCTCTGGCTCATGCTTGGCAGTGGACGGGAGAATTAGGACAGCGTTGCTTTTTACGCAAAGACTGTCAAAGCCCCATGTGTTTTGCACAGTTGAAGTTAGAATGGGGAAAACTGAGACAACAAATTGCAGCCAACTCACGGCAAACCATCCACCCATTCACCCATCCACCCAGCCACCCAGCCACCCAGCCACCCATCCACCCATCCACCCAGCATCCACCCATCCCCACATCCACCCACCCATTCCACCCGGCCACCCAACCACCCAGCCCCATCCACTCCACCCATCCATCCATCAATTCTGTGAATAGAACACATGCTATATACACCCATCATGGAGGTTTGGCTCAAGTAATATCGTTCATGGTTACTGCGAT